AATCCAACCACGCAATGTAAAATATGTATATAAATTGTTTCTTTGTTATTTCTGAATATTTATGCCAGAGAGAGAGAAAGAGCGAGATAGAAAGAGTGAGTGCATTAGCCTCTCGCGTATATCCAATTAGAAAGGAGACATGAGACATCAAACATCCAGACATCACGCATACGCAGCGTGAGCTACTTCTCAGCAGGAACTCAGTAGCAGCAGGAGCAGCAGCTGCTTCATTATCCTTGCTCTGTGTATCCTTTCAACCACTGTGTTCCCTGTGACTTATATTTATGCATTTATTTATCGGACATTTATCATGAAATTACTGTAATAAGTTGACGGGGCCCTTGATTAATGCCACAGAATTATTTCCACTTGTGTTTTTTCATCAGTTTTTTGTTTTTTTTTTTTGCTTTCAATTATTGTGTTTCCTTTTTGGCAGGACTCTGGCTCAGCTCGGTTTTCTCCCTCCATGGATTCTTTTTGGATTTTTCAAACTGCGGTCAATTCTCACGCACGTTTGCCTCATGGCATCATTTAGCCGCCAACTGATTTGTCGCCATTCATTGAAGTTGTCATTGTTGCTTCACTCTGTACACAAGGGGGGGACGGGATGACGATGATAAAGAAGGAGCTGCTGGATGCTGGCTGCTGGCTGCTGGAGACTCCCGTTGTCTGTTGTCTGCTGCTGATTCTACTGCTGTGGCTGATTCTGTCTTGTTAGCATTGTATATGTAGCTGTAGCTGTATCTGCTGACATATGTGTGGTGTGTGATTTAAGGGGACTGAAAGTTATCAGTGTCGCCATGGGAGCAGGGGGAATGCTACAAAGTATATTTCATTGTTTTCCTTCTTCTTGTTTGCAGACATTTTTTTTTTCTTTTTAACTTTTAAGTGGCAAGAAAATCTCTAACTTTAATACGACACATAAATAAAGGGTAAATATTTTTGGAATAACACTCTCATATTTGTCCCAAAAACCATTTGCAATTTGCACTGCCAATCGTTGGACTTGCTGTGCAACACAACCATTACCTGCCTCAATAAAAGCTGATTGGAGCTATCCGTATGACTGCCTGCCTGACTGCCTGACTGCCTGCCTGCCTGACTGCCTGACTGCCTGCTGCAATAACAAAGGCATAAAATTCGTAGAAAACGAAAATCAAAGCACGAAAAACAACAGATCTACTGAGGGGAAAACGCGGGGAGTGAAAGAGCAGAGCAGAGGCACCAAATTGACTTAATTTCTTTTTGCTGCTTGCCGCAGAACAAACGAAAAACGAACATCCATAGGAGGAACAGCTGATTGAAGACTCAAAAGAGCGAAGGAGCGACACAGCAGAAGAGCTTACGTTCCACTTCCAGGCAGAAATTTCTCACTCTCACGCTCAGTACTTCGCGCTCTCTTTTTTTTGGAGCTTAACCCACATTGTCGGCAGCCCGTGCACGACAACGATGAGGGTCTCGAAGCCTCGACAGCGAACGACGGCAATCTTCAGTCGTTGGAATACATTCGGGCGTTAAGGACACAAGCGACGCGTTCTGGCGCATTCAAACCAAAAAAAAAATCACCGTGCACGTGGCCACGGCTCTAGCTTCAGTTTCTCTTCCGTTCTCTATCCGGTTTTAGCTGTGTGTGTGCGTGCGTGCGTGTCTGTGTGTCGGTGTGTGCCAATATCCGTGTATGTGTGGGAGCGGCAAACGAAGCAGAAATCAACACAAGAAGTAAATGTGAGCAATTGCCAAAGTGTTTGGAGGCCAAAAAGTTTCCTCATTTTTATCTATGAAATACACACAGATACGATCTTTGTCTCTGTGTGTGTACGTATCTTTATCTATGTTTGTGTGTGTGTGTATGTGCCATAACTTAACAATCCGTTATAAGGCCGCGTCATCATCCACATCCTCATCCTTTTGGTTCACTCGTCTGTCGTCTCGCGTCCTCCGTCAACGTTCATCATACATCGCCTTTTGTCTGCTGCCTTGCGGCATTTTGTTTCCTTTTTTTTCTTGCTTTTTCTTACTTGTTTTTGGTACTTATTTCTTTCGTTTTTCTTACAGCTTTTCTGCCTCCTTTTATATTTATTTATTTTTGGGTATTTATGCGTTCATTTTGTTGAACAAAAATATATGCAGAATCGCCCTTAGAAAAAACAACCAAATAGAAGGAGTCCCTCACATTCCACTTAACGGTCATTGACGCTCGCCATTGCATGGCTTTTGGGGGTCGGGGGGCCAGAACTGGCCGGCGTACTGGCATGGCATGTCCTGGCATGCAATTAGACTCTTGTAGGTTTAATCGCCGTGAATGGAATAATTAAACCCCCATAACCCCTAAAAGTGGGCAACACACAGTTTCAATTCGACTTGAAAGCCCAGGACATTGAAATGTCCCCAATGAGATTAGATCAAATGTTTGTTCACGGGAGATCTTTGTCCCACATTCTGGGACAATTCTTGTAAGATAAATTTGTTTATTTATTCATTCTTTTAATATGATATTGGTTTTTCAATTTTTATTGTATTTAAATTTACTACTGTTTTCTGAGTCTAGTAACGTACCTTCCGGGGTACCCAGAGTCTTTTTGCTGAGTCTTTTAATGGCATTTATTTTCCTACTCAACATTTTATGTTTTTTGTTAAGTTTTCTTCATGAACTGATAGTCTTTTTCATTTCCTCATGTCCTGAAATTTATTTTGCAATAAACTTATTTTTCTTTTACTATCACATATCTTCCGATTGCTTTAAATCTTTTATTGGTTTACTTTCTGTTTGAAAAACCTCATATAATTCATATTTATTTTCATGTTTATTTTTCGCTGCCCTTTTGGTATTCCTGTTTCCCAGTTTTGCACCTCTGAAATAATCCTGTTTTTTTTTTTTGTTCATCGCTGATTAATAACTTCACTAATAGCTCTCTCACTAATTTAAAAGCCCATCAATATGTTCGCATTCAATTGGGTTTCCTCATCAGGTACATTAAATATTTACACTTTCCCTAATATTTACACATCGAAAAAGAATATAAAGAAAAACGTCAATGAACCAACAGAGATTTCGCCTTGTTTAAGCCAACAAATTCACAATAATATAAAAAAAAAAAAACGAGGCCAAATAGTGCATAGAAAATCCAATCACAATTCCTACATACGTTTTCTTTTTTGTATTTTGTTAGGTTTCATTAAAATAGATTTTGTGTGGCATTTTTCAAGAGTTTTTTGTACAGGTAGACCCCTCAGGTGCAATATGCTTGAAATGCAAATAGAAATCAGAAATCGAATGCATTCGTATTTGTGAGGGAAAAACAAGTATAAATGTATTTTGAATATATAATAAAAACCCCGCTCTCTCCCCCACACCCATCATCGAAACGAATGGAAAAATCTAGGTTAAAAAACAAACATAAATTTACGTAGAGAGCAAGACAAGCAAATCAAATTAGAATAATAATAAACGCAGCCATGTGGCGATTTTAAATATAAATGAAACCCCAAAAATTCCAAAAAACCAAAATGATGAAAATTCTACGCAAAGAAAACAAAGCAAACAAAAGCGGTGAAAACCCCAGAACCAGTGAAAATCAAATCATCTTATAAATAAAAATGAAAAGCGAAATGAAAATCATTTGTTGTTACACGAAAATATATGTGAAAATCCAACAAAAGAAAAGAGCGCAACAAAACGGTTTCCCACAACATCCATAATGTATATATATGTGTGTGCGTGCTGAGTGTATCTGTGTGAAAAGGAAACAACAACAAAATCAACAAATACCAACAATAAAATCAAAAGGATACGCGAGCTAAACAGCAAAAGGATCAGCGCTACAAATACAAATAAAGTTAAACAACAAACAGTAGGACCTGCTCCCAGGGCCATAGATTCTGTGACTTTCCCACAAGGTAAATCTAAGCAGAAATAACAACAGCGCTGATTTAATAATATCCACTCTGGGGCTATCGAATAGCTAAACCTATGACTTACCCATCAACTGCAGATGTAAAATCTGATCATTTTTGTAGCCAGAATGCACTTGTCGCTTGACTCTTTGAACATCTGGTGTTTGGTAGAAACCAGTCGGATTTAATTTGCTTAAACAGTTCAAGGTTCGATAAATATAAACTAACTAATTGGTAATTTAGGGTCGCGAATCAACAATGGATTTCTTCATTGTCTTTGGATCCATCAAATTGTTTGCCCAAACACATAAAATCCAAATCAATTCTATGAAGATAAATGAGTGCAAAAAATAAATGAAAGTCTCAGCTGCACTCAAAGAAATTATCCAAATAAAGATTTAGGCTGCCTAAAAATCCAAAGTATACTTTTATTTTGCCGAGTGTACACATCAAATCCTTGGCTTATCTCAGACTTTCACTTTGGGAATTTAGCCAAAAGCTAATAAGCGATTACGAATGTCCTGAGATATCCAGCTTCTAGCTGCCGCAGTCACGTGCCACCGCAATGGGACACAGGTGTTTCGTCTTGACAACACAGCACATCATAAGATGTGGCCATAATTTATCTACACCGCAGAATTCAGACCGAGGACTCTGTGTGTGTGTGTGTCATAAGAAAAGTTTCCACGTTATTACACATACGCCCCCACGGGCTGCCAAAGGAAATCAAATTAATCATTCTGCCAATGATTCTGCAGCCGCTCAACCTCCTTTTTTATATCGATTTAGATTTAGATACTTTTCCTGACACGCCACACGCACACAATTATCCAAGCACAAATATACTTGTACCTGGAATGGGATTTTTATTTTTTTTTTAGCTATTTTTAGTTGCTGCCACAGCTGTTGGCTCTCGCACTGCTCACCGCTACAAAAAAAGGGTATACTAGGGAGGAAAGGTGGAAAAGTGGAGTCCATAAATTAGCAGAAATAATTATGCAGAATTTTCTTTTTTATTGCGTGGGGGGGGTCTTGTTGTGAAGTGAACTTTTGAATATTTTAACGCTCCATAATTAGTGGGACGGCGAAGCAGGCGAGAAAATTCATTTGAAATGCTGAAACTTTTGGCTTTTTTGGCTTCGGGCAAATTACAAAAAAAGCATCTTTAAAATGGGAACCTATTCGCGTTTGTTGACTGCCTCCATCTGCAGCGGTGTGATATCCAATTTTTCGGCCAATTCCTTAAGAACCGCCAAGGTACAGGGCGACATAAAGAGACCACCCTGATCGTCCACTGACTGCATATGTGAGATTTCCTTGTCGCCAGGCACCAGAGGCGGCAGACCCTGCTGGCAGGGCGTCGCTTCACGCAGCAGACGATGAAAGTCGATGAGACGATCCTCAAACGATGCACAGAAACGCATCGGATCGATGGCAATAAACACCTGCCCCAAGTTCGCTGGTGCATTGTCCGCATTGTAGACACCGCGCTGTTGCAGTCGTGTGGCATAGCGGGCGCCTGACATCACCCCACACATGACGTCCACCATGGCAGCTAAGCCAAATCCCTTGTACTCCGGCTGAAAGGCCCGCAGGCGCTGGGAGCGCAAAGCCTCCGCCGTGGATGTTGTCTCTTTGCCGTAGCTGTCCAGGGCCGCCAGCTCCGGCAGTTGCTGGGCATTGCCATTGCAGTAGGAGAGCTCCAGATCCGCCACCGAACAGGCGGACATGCCAAAGTCCGCAACGAATTGCTCTTTCGCCCCGGAGGCAGCACAGGCGATGGGGTTCTCGCCAAGGACCGCCTCGATGCCGCCGGCGGGCACTAGAGTCGGTGCTGCATTCGACATGCAGACACCAATCATACGCTGATCCATGGCCCGCCAGGCATACCACGAGGCCATGCCAATGCAGTTGGAATGTCGAGCGGCCACCCAGCCAATGCCCACCGTGCGAGCCTTTCGCAGCGCCAGATCCATACAGAATTTGCCCACCACCGGACCGGGTGCATTGCGGCCATCCACCAAAGCAACGGACTGTTTCTCTTTAATAATCTCGGGTATGGCACTCGCCGTTACCGTCGAGTTGAGTAGATCGGCAGCAATCGAGGGCAGCCGATGGATGCCCATGCTGCGGTGGCCCATGTAGTCGGCTGCAATCAATGAATCGGCCATATCCGTGGCCGAGTCCAGGGGCACATCCATGGCGGCAAAGACATCTTTAACGAAACGCTGAGCCTCCATTACGCTGACCATTTTGCCAGAGGCCTCCATTACGTATTTATCCTCCATTTCGCCTGGCTTCTCCTGACCGCCGCAGATCAGCAGCACCCGCTTGATGTTCTGCCAGAAAATGGCATTCTGCTGCTGTTCCGGCAACGAGGAGAGCTTATCGAATTCCATATCGATCTTTGTGCGCTTCGTCCACAGCCATTCACGTGGTGGAATGGCAGATCCGCTTGCGCCTGTGCTGGGGATTTTTGGTGCTTCGAGCTCCGAGCTGGGGCTGAGATTCTTCAAGCTGCCCTCGTTGAGCGCCTTTGGCATGGTTAACTTTAGACGCACTCGACGTACCACATCCATAAAAATGTTTACCACACGCATGGCTGTATTTTGTATTCGTATCTTAGTTGTTTCGAAAATTTATATCTGTATTATGCTGAAATCATTGCTGTATGAATTAAGTATCGTGGCTTACTTTGATATTCATTCCCTCATTATTATTATCCCTCTCACCCGCTTAGCAGAGCTCAGAGAGGCCTTAGGAGCATGAGCTACTTTTGCCATTGCTGCCACTCGCTGTGGCGCGTACTTGAATTGTCAGTGCAACAAACGCACACAGACACAAACAAACGAACAAATAAGCAGAGTAATTCCATGCAAAAAGCGAACAAAAAAATAAAAATAGGTACAATGTAAAAGCTTAAAAAATAAAAGAGTAGAACCGCAAAACACCCGCAGATACAGATAGAAATTGCACACTGACACAGTTGCAGTAGCATGGCTAAAGAGTAACCTTGAGGCAGGCACACTGACACACAGATATGTATGTATATACAAGTGCAAATATACATAAATGTGCACATACAGACACAAATGCAAACACTGAAATGAGGAGACCTTGTGGCAGCACAGCACCACAGTTTTTTTTCCCCAAAAAAAGAATTTGCATCAACAATTTAACTTTTTTTTCGCCTCCCTTATACGTGTATGAAATTTATGAGAAAATTTATATTTCTGGCTTTTTTTTCGAGTACTTAAAATGTGCGCAAACTAGTTTTGCCCTTGTTTTGGGATATTTGGGAGTAACCTTCTTTTGACTTACATTTTTTGGAGCATAATTTTTCGGAGTATTATTTCAGGAGTTAACAACAACCAACACAAATAAATCTGTAGTGTTTCTTCACTTCACATCCGTCCGATTGTACATTATGCTTCACACTAAAAGTCGTTCATAAATTTCACACAGCATCAACAAATCCAACATCCAACCAAATTAAAGGGTTTGAAAGATAAATGTGTGTGACTTTTAGATGATTTTTCACTTGTGTTCATATAATGTATAAATGTTGTCGTTCTTTTTATTTAACTTTGGAATTTACAAATATTTTGTTGCATGCTAAGACATTTTTTAAGAATTTATATCTATAGTTGTGTTAATTCCCAACAAAACAAGCTGATAATTAATTATGAAAATTGTCAAATGATTGCTAGAGTTACGAATCTCTAAGTAAAGTAAGCGATAGGTACTGCCGAGTTCTTTTGACTTTTTTGTGTCCACACTATCTTTTCTAATGGTTCTTGTTGTCTCCATTTTGGACATTAAATCTTCCCCTACTTTGCAAAATAGTAATTAAAATATTAGAAATGAAAAATAAACTAAAACGCTTTTACCTCTCCCTCTTTATATGCAGATCAAAATGAAAGCCGTGCAGCTGGAAACTCGAAACCTCAGCGCAGCCCACGTCACCGATAGATAGTGTAAATGAACAGCAAGAACTCCCTGCCATCGAGAGCCACATCGATATAGGGGAGCAGGTGGATAATAGAATTCAATTAAATTGCTCGAAAATAAAGCAAAAGCACTGCGAAGACAATGGGAGAAAGCCAGCTGTTGATTTTGCTGCGGCTACTGCTGCTTCCGGGCATGCTTATCGGCAGGCCACACATGGTGGAGGCCTCCACATCGGACATCTATAAGAATGCCCGTTTGGGGCATCGTATAGTGCAGACGCGATATGGTCGATTGCATGGCCTGATACTCCCATTGGATAGCTTTCGATTTCTGCGATCTGTGGAGGTGTTCCTCGGAGTGCCATATGCCACGCCACCCACCAAACAAAATCGGTACGTTATGGCATTCCATTCCCATTCCCTTTTTTGTGCTGACAATGCAATATTAAAAATCAATACAGATTCAGTCCCACGCGTGCACCAGCGCCCTGGGATGGCATTCGCATCTCGGATAAGTACAGTCCCGTCTGTCCGCAGCGCTTGCCAAATATACAGAACGAAACGGCGGCACTGGAGAAGATGCCCAAGGGCCGGCTGGAGTACTTGAAGAGATTGCTGCCATTTCTGGAGAACCAATCCGAGGATTGCCTCTACCTGAATGTCTTTTCCCCGGTGAATGGTAAGCAAAAGAAAACAGGGGCGAAAAACTTTATCACAAGCCAAACAGAGAAAAATATAAGCGTACATTAAGCTCTTCATAAATCTTATTTAAATTCAATTAATTAAGATTAATCGTACTCCACGTAATGCCAATAATTTATACGTAAAAATACAAAAAAAAAAAATAAAAGAAGGGCAAGCGAAGGCAAGGCAAGCCAAAGCGTTGCTCTCACGTAACCATTGCGCAGTGAAAATCTTATCGTAAGTGCCACCCTCCAGTTCTAGTGCCCCCCGAAAAGCTGCCACAAAATCCACGGGGCCAGGGCCAAGTGAATCCCACTAATCTGAAGCGATTTCTATGGCAAAATCCGCTTCGCACGCAAACGGAAACATTTAATGGCGCACTGAGAGAGCGTATACTTTTGTGTGTTGGTGTTGAGTGTTCGTGCGGGGAAAGGAATTGAGATATCACAAAGTTGTTTTTTTTTGGTTTTTTTTTAAATGATTTCAATTTATGATTTGTATTTTCTATATATTTTTTCTTTTGTAGCTGGTGCCAATGAGAAAAAGCTGCCCGTAATGGTGTTCATTCATGGCGAATCCTTTGAATGGAGCAGCGGCAATCCCTACGATGGCAGTATCCTTGCCAGCTATGGCGAAGTGGTGGTGGTAACACTCAATTATCGCCTGGGCATATTAGGTACAGCATAACTCATCCCCAAAAATGTCTCAATAACTATACATATATACAAATTTTTTTGCTTAGGCTTCCTCAATGCCAATCCAAATCCACATGCCCATGCCAGGGTCGCCAACTATGGGCTAATGGATCAAATGGCGGCGCTGCATTGGATCCAACAGAATATACAGAAATTTGGTGGCGATCCAAATGCCGTTACCCTTGCCGGACATGGCACGGGAGCGGCGTGCATTAACTATCTGATGACATCGCCAACGATGGTGCGAGGGCTCTTCCATCGTGCCATACTCATGTCGGGCTCGGCGTACTCCTCGTGGGCACTGGTCGAGGATCCCGTGCTGTTTGCCATCAAGTTGGCCAAGGAAGTGAACTGCACAATACCGGAGGACCTGAATCGACATCATGAGCAAATAGTCGACTGTCTGAGGGATGTGCCGCTGGAGGATTTGTATAGTGCGGATATACAGGCACCAAACTTTCTTACATCCTTTGGACCATCGGTAAAATCAAAGACAAAAATCGAAGGAGATTCAAGCGAGGGTGGAGAGTTTTCTCTTCCCTCCCACCCTCGCTCCCTACCATCAATGAACATTTATTTTTCGGTTTTTTTCCTCCTTTTGTTCTGGTCCTCCGCTTCTTCGCTTCAATGGACTTTATTACTTACTTTACTTCTCGTTGTACCATTCCTTCTTTTCGCCAACTTCAAGTTTCTGTCTTGCGGGCACCTCCTTGTGTCCTTTCCACTACTTTTGTCATTTACTTGCGATTCCCTTGCTTTCAATTTAGGTTGATGGCGTTGTCATACGACCCGGACATTCCAATCTCGATATCGATGATTTAATGGCCCGCAACTCGAAGCGTTCATCAGCGGACTTTGGCTTCCAGACATCACCGGGTGGCAATGGTGGCTCTGGCGGTGGTGGTGGTGGTGGTGGTGGTGGTGGTGGCGCATCCTTCAACGGTGGCAGTGGCAGCTACTTTGGCGGTGGCGCCTCTGCCACACCAAATATGGGCGGTCACTATGATGTCCTGTTTGGCGTCGTTACGGGCGAATCGATTTGGCGCTTCAGTGCTCATGATATACAAAATGGTTTCGAGGGCGAGCGACGAGATAAAATTATCCGCACTTATGTCCGCAATGCATACAATTATCACCTTAATGAGATATTCTATACGGTAAGTTCTACATAGAGAGAGAGAGAGAGATCGAGAGAGTTGTGAGTGTGTCTGCGGTGTGCGGTCTGCGACCCATAAATCTTGGCTATCAGATTTTGTCTGTCGTTCCACTTTTGGCATCAGTTTAAAGCTTAATTATTGCCTTTATCTGGCAGTTTGCATTTCAACTTTTACTTTTTTTTTTTTGGTTTATTTTTTTTTCCCCCCCTCAAGAAACTGTCTCAAAGTTTGCACTTAAAAACTTTATAGACAGTTGCCAGATGAAAAGAAATATGTACTTAGATACAGACTTACTGTAGATACCCTCTCAGGCATGACGAATCTTTCAATTATGCAAAACCTGTAATTTATTAGAGTATCTCAAGTTTCGCTCTCCTGTTTGCTTTCTAAATATTTAAGAAGCAAACTTTAATTTAAGTAATTTTTTGTAGCCATTAAAATGATTAAAAGCACTCTTGTTGGCCAGTGTAATGAAACACTTCTAAGCGGCAGCTAAAACAACAACAGTGACTGCAAGAGAAAAGTCAATTAAAATGTTCGCACATACTGCTTTGAGTAACTGTAGCTGCGAGCGTGTAATTATAATTACACATTGCGTATGAGTAACATTTTTTGCAACCACTCCAACAGATACATACATACGTGTATGTAGATGCTCTTGCGTCTGTCTGCATTTCATCCTATGCACTCATGTTTTTCTGGAAATTTGAAACGCTTATTATTTTTTTAACATTTAGCTGTTACTTTTGCTGTTGCTGTTGCCGCCTTCTACTGCTGCTGTATATATTTATTTAATGCTTTTACTGGCGATGTTATTTTTATTCTTTCATTGTGCAAGCGGGCGAAATGGAAGGCAGTTAACACGCCATTGCTGCCAAACATTAACACGCTTTATTTGGCAAATGTGTGCAAGGACATAGACATACACACATACATACATACATACATACATGTGTTCGTATGAGTGTGCCAACACATACCTACTTAAAAGCGCACAAGCAGCACTTAACCCAAATCACAGCAAACAGCAGCAGCAACAGCAGCAGCAGCCGCCGCATCAGGAGAAACCTCCAACGAGTAGCAAGCATCCCAACGTCAGAAGTCAGATTTCTGTATCTGTATCTCAGCCAGAGCCTCAGCCTCAGCATCAGCCTTGCTGTTGTCACCATTTCACCAGATATATATATATATATATATATATA